TTCGTTTGTCACCCTCTTCTTGTCTCCTACAAACTTTTGTTTGAACATAATTTGCAACATGAAAGGGCCTCATCTATATCCTCTGGTTTCTTCTGATACTCTACAGCAAACCTAACTTCTTCATCCTGTAAGCCGTCTAGAAATCTATTCACGAGATCTTCTTGCCTTGTTCTTCTGTCTCTGTATCCATGAGCTTTGTCATATAACATCTTAAGTTCTGCTGCATACTCTTCTGGAGTTTCGTGTTCTAATTGTTGTCGTTTGCTGAATTTAGCAGCATATGACCTTGAAGTGCGTATGACCCTAAACCTACTATCTAGTTCCCTGATTAACAATTTGTAATTCTCAATTACATCTTGAGGCAACTGTCCGAAAACAAATTGGCCTGCAGAACCCTGTAAGCGAGGTAGAAGTTGATCTAGCTTTTCTTCAGTATCCCAGTTATATCGTTTTGCAATGGCTTCAAATCGACTGATCCAAATGTCCCACTCATCTTTGCCATCAAAAGGTGTCAAACTCAAGTTAGCTGTTCTTGATTTTCTGTTCACATTTCCTCTCCAATATCCATCACTGCCTGTATGGTTCTGAAATTCATAGTTTGGGTGCACTCGACTAGGTGGACACCTTGAACGTATGTAACTTGTGTACACTTCTGTATTACCTTGCACACCTGTCTGAGATTGACTTCTTGTTGGAATATTACGTGCAACATGACAGTTGTCATTGTAACCATTCACCACCCTATGTTGATTCTCTAACCCTTCATATGTTCGAAAATTATTTCGACTGTGGCCTTCCATACTTCTTGATATGTGATTTTGTGTTCTCGGCTATTCGGCTCATTCTGATAATCTCTATGTTGTATTGTATTTGAAATATGACGACTATGACCTTCCATAGTTCTGTGACTATCTATATCATGATGTGTATAATGATTATCATGTTCAGACAACTTGTTTAATGTTTCATTGCCTGCCTTGGACGTACATGTAGCTGTACTTTGATTTGATACTAAATTCATCATCTGTTTAAGAACGGAAGTTATTTCCTTTTGTTGCAGTCTTAGGTCGTTAATACATTCATTTAATGTTAAATTTTCCTGTTGATCTTCCTCACTTTGCATGCTTGAAGTTTCCGACATCCCATCTTCAACTTGTAGATCACGTTGACCAATGCTGTTTCGCCGATAATTACCGTTTATAATAGGGGACGGATTACGGCCGTTATCGTGTCCATCCTCGCTATTTGTTTCGAAAGGGGACTCGATTTGTGCGTTTTCATTTCTTTTTGGAGAACTCATATTGTGATTGAAAAATATTTCCGTTTCACTGTCTTCAATGTCCGTCATAATTCATACAAATTTGTAATGACTAATTTTCTCTATTGTAAAGATGATCGGCGATTGTTCCGCGGTACTATATAATGATTTCTCAGGAAAGTTCGTATCTCTGGATCCGCTAAATAGAAACGGATCCCACTGCTGCCACCACAAATGTTGCGTACCGCTGTCTCTTGTATGTCTTTTATCTACTAGCATGTATTCGCTAACTCAGAAGAATAGTTCTTCGTGGTATAGAGCTTCTGTAATATATATATATATATATATATATATATATATATATATATATATATATATATATATATATATATATATATATATATATATATATATATATATATATATATATATATATATGACGGACTCGGACGGACACCAAGCAATCACAAAAAATCCTAAGATTGGGCTATCAGAGGATGACTCCGCATCAGTTTATTGTAATTTATTTTTGGATGCTATATAAAGGGTATTTATTATAAAACTTCTCAAGTAACAACCAAGACAATTTCAAGTTAACGATGTTTATTTACGGACTCACCGTAATGAACTATATATTATTTAATCTTGAACAAGTGTTGTATAATTATATTAAACAAAGTCTGCTACTTGTATAGTATTAACAACAATCTATATAATTTTTATACAGTATATCCGAATTTATATTACTTCGGTAAAATGATGTATATCTCTACCAGTGACGGCTGTTAAAATAACATATCAATTAATATTTCAAATTTCGACTTTACCGAAACAACTTTATAAATATAGATCTGTGTGCGTACGTTGCGAGGTGTCGGCAACTTAATACAATAAAATTAACAATAAAAATATTACTTTAATGGAAATTTCATCTTTAATATACTATACTCATGTACTCTTTGCAAAATAAATTTATAACAGCTGTTTAAACTTTCAAAGAACTCTGAAGTTTCTATGCTTAACTTTATGCAACAAATGCTCTTTTAGAACAAAAAATTATTAATTAAATCTTAATAATGCTTAAGTATTTAAGAAAATATGCTATCAAAATTACCAAAGATGTAACTTGTAAATAATATCTTAATAATATCTGAATGAGCTTCTGCTTCTAATGTTGTTTTGATCTGAGCGGAGTGACTTCCGACAGGAAAACTGCGCTTTTATAGTCAAGATTCCTACACTGAAAAGTGTAGGAAAGGCTCCTAAAGGATTTCCTACAGATCCAACACCTCCTACAACTTACATTAAAGATAAAAATACAACATAGAACAACATATTTGAACACATATTACATTAAGCTAATAATTATTGGAATTAATAAAAACATGAAACAAGTGAAATACCGTTATTATGTGTGGAGATATGAAATTTTAACATTAATAAATTAAATGTAACCCCACTTTGTACCCCACAGGTAAAGAAAAGTTTTGCAAAAGATGATGATGTCATAAATCATCTAATGTGTGACGTCATATTTGTAAGCAAGCAAAATGGCGGAATATTGATACAATGGTTACAAGTTGGAATGTTCTTCTTTGAATAGCTAAAGAATGAATAAATCTACCGGTAAAATTACTTGTGAATTATAAAGTTAATGTATCTCTTTGACTTTATGATAAACGTTGAATTTAACTAAAAGAGTTTTTATTAATAAGCACACTGTTTATTTAAAACAACAGTTCATAAAAATGGGTGGGGAGTGGCACATCACATGCTCATGAAATAATGGGTTAAAATAACCGTTTCATATTTGTTTAATAATTTTTGTAATGTACATATATCTTTGATTCACAAAGGGAATTAACTAATGCAAACTTTAATGCACTGTGTTACTCCCCTTGTTCCATACATTATGATTCAATCTCTTAAATGGTCCGTCATTGGATAAAAGTGTAATGTTTACAGGTATGGAAATTATTTAAGAAACAAACACTGCATTGTTTTTCTTAAGAAAATGAAATGTAGGACACATTTTCACGCTTGGATATTTGCATTTTAAAAAAGTATATGTCAGTCCTGTGTTCATCAGAAAACTTCTTTGAAAAGGAGAGTAATCATCCTTGAAGACATTTTGTGAAAATTAGATAGTCAATCGTATATAACCAGATCATTTGTATGAGACAATGCATTTGCTTAACAATATTTTAGTTCATCATTTGAATAGGAATAACAAAAATATGTAAAAAAGCGAACTGTGCAAAGAATGATCAGACCTGCCGTGTGAACTTTTCTGCTCTGGTCGCATAGGTAAAATCTGTTGCCAAGAGCCGCAGGTTGAATGTTAACATACAAAACCAGTATAATTTAAAGAAAGAGGAGTGATAGTAGGAATCGCAATTCATAAGACTTTTATTCATAGGTGTTACCTGATACCACTGGATCTTGTGGTGTTGATAGTTTTCAATCTGGATCACGGCAGTAAGTCACAATGAATTTACTAGAGCACAGATCAGCCACTGCATCTGCCCAAGCAGTTAAACAGACTGAGTACTAGTTGCCTTCACTTTCGTAATGAAGTGATAAGTTCTGGGCAGAGGTACAGTGCGAATGACAGTAGAAAGGATTTCATGATCAATCAGAACGTCCGGGAATCAAACCCGTGTTGCCCGATTGACAGTCCAACGCTATACCTACTGAGCTAAACGGTCGGATTACTAGATCTCTCATTCACATTTTCCTTAATATATAGACAGGGTTGATATTTGAACTTCGCGTTCATACAATAGTTTTTCAGAGCACACTTTTTAAAAAGAATGTAACACAAGTTGTATACGGCAGAAGAAGTGTTGGTTAGATTAAGTAACTCCACGCTGAAACAGCACGTGGCGACTTTTGGCTGAAAAAGTATGTGGCTACTTTTAAGCCTAAGTTGTGGAGGAAAATCTCATGTACCCCTTTGTGCGTTATTTCAGGCTCTAGCTAGCCATCATAGAATAATGTATATATTACCACCTCATTTTCTTACTACCGTATTTATTATATTTGCCTTCCCACCCTCTGACAACACAAATAGATGCCCGTCTTACCATTTAAACAAGAGCGATCAGTAATCACATGTGTCGCCTCATGATGGCCAATTTCATGTTTGGACAATATTTTGTGACAGACGGACAGACGGGGGACAGTGCACAACTAGACTTGGTACTGATCATTCCTGTAAAGTTTGGATAAAATTGCACCAGTAGTTTATGAGGAGTAGTCCGGACAAGCTTTTGCGTATCTGGCAACACACAGAAAAAACACCTTTTTATCAAAGGGCCATAACTCGGCCAAAAATCATTCAACCAAAAAACCCGTGCAATATGCGCAAGGACTTGAGCTACAGATCAATCCTGTAAAGTTTCATTGAAACTGCATTAGTGGTATAAGAGAAGTAGTCCGGACAAACTTTAAAAATAAAAATTATTAAAGGGCCATAACTCTGACAAAAATCATTGAACCGGAAAATGCTGACAATGTGCACAACTGGACTTAGTACTGATCATTCCTGTAAAGTTTGGATGAAATTGCACCAGTAGTTTATGAGGAGTAGTCCGGACAAGTTTTGTGACGGACGGACGGACAGACGGACAGACAGACGGACAGACAGACGACGGAGAAGTGATCCCTATATGTCGCCACTACTCCGTAGAGGCGACACAAAAAAGGAATTGTAGGAATTCAAGAAAACTCAGTCTTTATAGAAACTATACATGTTTATTCAAGTACTACACTATTTCATGAACAGATAAGAGTCCATACAAATTCGGAAGACATAGCTTATTAGTATATGTATTTGAATAAAATGCAGATGGCATTTGAACAGTACAAATTAGTCTGAAAATTGCTGAATACCTACTAAAAATATTAAATATAAAGAAATTGTGAAACAATTTTCGTGGTTTAAGAATGAGTAAGGAACCAGACGATCTTTACAATAGCATCCGGATAATCTGCTTTTCGAACCACGTGACTAACTAGCACGTGTCTGCAGTGGCGCTGTCGGTTAGGTAAATATGTAATGTCGTCATTGTCCCGAGAGGGCCCAGACAGTCTGGTGGTGGAGTCATAAAGTTCTGAAATAAAAAAAGAAAACCAGCCTATGATTTATTCTATGATATGAAAACCTGATTTTTCCTGGCTCCTTACAATGGTATTTCCTATCACGGTGTCTACCTTTACAAAAAGGCATTATTATAACCAGAAGGTGTTAGTGCTAGAATTAACGAATGCATTGCCGATACCATTACAAATTCTTAAACCTGATTAAAAGTATAAAAACACATTTTAGCACGTCGATCTTTATCTGTTTTTTGAATAAATATGCATGTGCTATCAACCGAGGTAACGAGTACTGGACTAATGGCTTTGTTGTCATATCAGTAACACCAAAACGTAACTTCCGGTAATTTTTTCCCACAGTTCAAGTTAACTCATTTGCAAGCATGCGCAGTAGGGACTTACACATGCGTATATGGTGTCGGGCCGCAGACGATAAATGAATACTGATTACTATAAACTTTAATGCATCTTTGTTTGTTTGTGTTGGGTTTGAGAGTTTTACTTTATATATGTGTTTGTTTTCTAAACATACGTACCCCATAAGAACTTTGTGGAGGATGTTCGATGCGCGGAGAATAATTATTCAAATCCATTGCTAAAGCCCATCCAAATCCGTTGAGAACACCGCCATTGTAGAGAAGAAATACCGGGAAAAAGTTGTCACAGTCCATGTTCTTACTTATATCGTACCAGTAGTGGAGACCTGAATGTAATAATTTGTTTGTACATGTAGTAAAAGAACATGTCCGTGCTCACAAATTTGTATTCATATTCAGGAATATGTATCAACGAGCTGGGAGAGATTTTACAATTCTATCAGATATCAAAACAAAGTCCCATTCAAAGGAAATTTAACATTTATCGAAGCCACATGTGCAAATATTAAGACGAACATTCACAAACCAATTGAAAACTTGCTAATTTGCTCTCTCAAAATATGAAATGTCGACAAAAAAATTGAAATCCATTTTTTTTACCTCCTCTCCATAATAGACTTTAAAGCAGAAAACATAATGTTTCAAATATGACACTTTTGTGTTTTGTTAATGCTGTCTAGTTTTTGCACTAAGGTACAAAGAAGTACAATCAATTTATATAGTTTTGATATTTTTTGACGTACCCATTGTAACAAAGCAGGCTCCTTTAGTCCATTTACTAGCGTCAGCATCGGCGACGGTTTTGGGTATAGTGATAGAGTGGGCGACAGGATTGGTTCCATTCTGAATCCACAAACCGGTTCCTGTTCCTTGAGAGTGGAATTGACTAGCAGTTCGACCACCGTTGCAAATAATCGCTGAAACGATTGAAGTGAAAAGAAAAATTTAGATATCCAGTAAAAAACACCTGCAAAGAACGGCCACATGATAATGGAAAATCTGTCATAAAGTTCCATATTTTTAAATTACTTTCCAAACCATTATATGGTGCAAAATTACTAATTTTGATATAATATATCCTGTGTAAGCCCATTTCCACCACATGTAAGGCCAATATATTCTAGAACGGTTTGACGTGAAGCATGTACGCACGGACACATTATTTTGTTTCGGATTGGAGCAGTGACTTTTGAACTTAAATCAAGTCTTTTGCATTATGATACACTTTATATAAAATTATAAGACTGAAATATGTAAAATTTTAATTGTCCAAGGATGTCCTTGAAGTAAGTGTTATTCACTATCCAAAAACTAATCAAACATTTTTTTTTATCACACCAGTCTGAAAGTTCGTACTTACAAGGGTCCACAAAGTAAGCTGTCACGTAGTTGTATCCATTGTCTACAACGACTGCTGAATTCTTCAGTGGACCAAATGGATAATCGTTTGGATTTGGACTGAAATTTGCTGGCCACTGTGAAAGAAAAATTGTTAAATACATCATAAATACATCTTATGCACAAGGTACATGTATATTTGATACTGACGTCTGTCTTTTCACAGAGAAATGCGGAGAAACGGGCGAAATACGTCGAGAGTTTTCTTCCCGATCAACCCATATTATCGAACCCATTCAATACTTTTGTGCCTAGGCCGTTTTTCCGTGATATAGCCTAGCCCGCAAGTGTTGGGGATATAGGTCAACCGCGATGCCAGCTAGGTATGTAGCCTAAATAACTCACAGTGCTGGTGATGTAACATAGCCCGCATTTATGGGGAATACCTTAAAATATTATTCACCTTTTTTCTTTATTCCTTTAAATTTACGTTTTCTGTTTAAAATTTTTAAATTCAATAGGGTTCGGGGAAAATATGGTTTTATCTATTATCTGTTGAAAAAAAATTTTTTTAATTATTTTGGGGGAAAAGTTTTTTTTTTATTCCCAATAACTTTTTGCAAGTTTTTACCGCTTTTTAAAAAAATGCATACGGGATTTTTCCGGCGGAAGTGCTCTTCCCCCAAATTGGACCCCCGCAATGAAACCCACTCGTAAGATAGTATCACTGCATATCTTTGTTTGATGAATCTTTCTCCATAAAATTGGGGTTATCTGAGTACAAAATTACAAGGGGTTAAATTGGGGAATGATGTCGTTATCACATGCTCATTTTACATGGACGCCCAAAGTCGTTCTTAAAAAAAAATCAAAAAAGGGAAATTGTTTTTTTAAAATTTACTTGTGAACGATTCTCTCCCCTACCCGGCTATAATAAAAAACCTTTTTTAAATTTAGTAGACATTGTTATATTTTCCGTTTTTGTTTTGATTTTTTGGCTTTTGTTTCCTTTTCTTTATCGTTTTTCAAAAATTGATCACAATTATTGTTTCTACGTTTAAATCTATTTTATGGAAGTCCAGCATGACACGGGGTTTTTTCTTTGTGATTGTACTGAGTCACGGGGTATTTTTTTGGGGCCCCTTCGCTGCTCTTTGTTTTTTAAGGGAGTTTTTGAGCGTTATTTTATCCAAAAGCACTTCCCAAAAAATGTTATATAAAAAAAAAATAAAAACAAAATTTTTCCACTGCATCCCCCGGATAAGTGAGACCCCAAACCCCAGATACAGCTGCGGCAGTTACGTGGCATTCCCTGGAAAGGAAATGAATGGGGGTTTAAACCCCCCGTCATGGAAAAGAAAAAATAAAATTATAGATTCTACTACTGCTACCCCTCCACTACCCACCCCTTCAACTAATAAAATTTTAAATTTATTTTGGGGGCTATTAAAAAAGTCAAATAAAAACTTATTTCCATTGGCCTTCTGTACACTTCGAGTTAAAAAAAAACAGTAAAAATAAAAGAAAATAAATTTCGAAAAACTATACAATTACATAGCTTTTTTGGATTATAAAATTTTAAAATTTGGGAAAATTTGTTCTAACTTTGTTCCTGCAAAAAATCAAACAAAGTTAACAATAAAAAAAAAACCAAAAAAAAAAAAAAGGAAAAAAATTTTTTTCTTTCTGTTAAAAAAAAAATTTTAGTTTTGGCGCTTTAGCTTAGTATTTTTTTATAAAATTTTTTTTACCCTAAAAGATGACAAATTTTTTTAAACTGGGAGGTATTTTTGCAGTGTGGAAAAATTTTTTTAATTTGAAACTATTTGGGGGGATTTTGTAAAGACGCATGGTTTAAATTACTTATTTAACAAAAAAGAATTTTTATTAAATTTAAAATTTGTATCTAATGACTTTGTTTAAACTTTTTACATTTTTTCATTTTTTTATGTTTTTAAGATTATTGCCGGGAAAAGGCTTCTTTTTTCGCCATTGGATACTTTTTTTCTAAACAATTTTGTTATTATCAATAATTAAAATAATTTATATATTATTATATATTTAAAATAATATATATTAAATTAGTTCAAAAAAAAGTTTTTGAAAAAATTTAAAAAGCAATAATAAAGTTATTTCCCCGTAGTTGGAAAGGTGTAAACTGTTTTAAAAAATAATTTCTTATTGGGGTGAACGTTCAATAAATAAAAATTTTTGATTTAGAAAAAACGCACAACTGATTTAAAAATCACCTTAAATTGATTTTTCTTTAAAGGAATTTTTAAAAAAGTAGCGGATATTATCCTTTTAATTTATTTTTTTTTCAAGTTGGACTCTTTGTTCTCTTTTCTTCTTCTATATATAATAGTTTTTTATGTATGAATTTTTTAAATTAAATATTAAAAAGGCTTCCCTGTGCCATTTGTTTCCCATCTCTTTGCTAAAGATGAAAAATGCAAATAACTCAAACAAACGTGAAACCCAAAAGTGGGGAAAATTACAAAACTTTACAAATTTCGAAAAGAGTTTTAGAATTTTTTTCTTGGGTTTTGGTTAAAAAACCCGGGGTCACAAGAAAATTACTACCTTCAATCGTTCCCTTTTGATTTAAAATAAAAAGTGGCATTTTGTTTTAAAAAGAAAAAACTTTCCCATGTTTAAGGTTTATAATCCAAATCAAAAAACCCGTCTATTTTAAAAACAATTTAGTACCAAACCGACTTTCTACTTAAAAAAAAAAATATTAAAAAATCAATTTTTCCCAAAAAAGTCTTTGGCCCATCTTTTTTTAAAACCCCCCAGTAGTTTAAAGCACTGAAAATTGAATCGGTAAGGTGCTGTTTAAAAGCGGTGTGTCGCCGTTATATGTCACAAAGCGTAATTGTATTGCCGCTTTCCCCTTGCCCCTAAAAATCATAACCGCGTAAAAAGTCTAAATATTTTTCCCTTAAATTCGCAACGTTTCTTTAAAATTGTCGCACCATTTCCCCTTTAAGTTAAATTTTTTTTTGGAAAAAATTTGGTTATTATTTTAAATATTAACGAAAATTTTATTTTTGATCTGGGGACTGGCTTTAAATCAAATAAAAAAGGATTTGCTGTGATGTAAAAAAGTAATTGGTTAAAATTGAAGTCATCTTAGTCGGTTTTTAAATTTTGACGCCCGGGAAAATTTTTTCCCAAAAAAGCCCTTTGGTAAATTTCGTATATTTTTTTCCCTTTTAAAAATCAGATGTCGTGGTTTTCCAGAAAAGGGCAAAAAAAAAGGGGTTTGGGGAAAAGGGGGGAAATTTTTAATTTTTTCCCCCCCAAAAAGAATTTTAAATTTAAAAAGTTTCAATTTAAAATTTAATCTTAGATAATTTTTTAAAAAAATTTTTTGTTACCCTTTTTCTTCTAAAAGGGCATGTTTTTTTTCGGTTTTTTTTGGTTTTAAAAGGGTATTTTTATTTACTTGTATTATTATTTTGCAACAATCAGATTACTACAAATTTCCCAATCACCCACTTATGTTTTTTCCAAAGGGCCCTGCATATGTTTAAGGGTAGTGTCCCTTTTTCCTAAACTGAGGCTTTGAATTTCTTTTGTAATTTTTTTCTTATGACAAAAAATGTTCATGCGAAATTTTTGCTTTCGAAATATTTTCTTTGATACGCAGTTAAATTTCACAACGACAAATTGCCCCTGTTTAAAAAAGTAATCTGTTTAGTCTTTCACTTTTTGAGTTCATAGATTTTAGTTTTTTTATTCGTTACATTTTCGGGGTAATATGAAATGGCTTTTAAAATTTGGGGGTTTCCCCGTCTGTTTTTAAAAATTACGCTTACGTGTTTTTTCCCGATGCACCTATTGCTTTGGGGAAAATTATAAAATTAAAATTAAAATTTAAAAGGCCATATGCTACAGTTAGATAGATAAAAAGGGCAGTTTTTAAAAAATTTAAATGGGATTATTTTTAAACTTTGAATGAGCTTAAAATCGAAAGAAATTGTGTCAATTTGGGCCCTTTTTGTTAACAACACTGCACTTTTACCCCTTGCTAGAACGGAAATGATGATACATGTACGTAAGCGGAGGGAACTTTTCTATACTTACAGCTGACTAAATTTAAAAAATTTTTGTCTTGATATTTCCAGATTTTAGAAAAGTTCCTTGAAATGAGCATTTTTTCCCAAATTTAGGGTTTCAAATAATTTATGTCAGTGTTTAAAATTTTCGGCTGCTTTCCCGTTCTATATTATCTTGCATTCATCACTTTACCTTTGCTACTAATAGTAGAGTAATCGATCTGGCAAAAAAATTTTTTGTCCCAGGTTTAGAAAAAATTTGCATTTCTTTTGGGAAAAAAGCCCCCGGTTAATTTCTTGCAACAAAAATGTGAAATTTTATCTCCCATATTTTAAAAGCATATTAAAAAGTTTTTTAAAAGTTCATGTTTTTTCAAATTTAAAAATTCTGTTAAAAAACTAAAAAGAAAAAGTAGAAAAAACTGTAAACTTTAAAATTTTTCAAGAAAATTAAAAATGCTCTTTTTTAAAAATTTTATAGCAGACTTAAAAGGGCTTTTAAATATAACCCGCTTTTGTTTGCATTACTGTTGATGTATTAAAACCCATTCAAGAAAAGTCAGTGAGGGAAAAATAGCCCTTATCAATAAAGGGAAAAGGGATATTTTTTTAAGTTTGCACTTTTAAAAAAAGGGCGGAAAAACTCTTTGTTCCCCCTTTCCCAATGAGAAGGGGAAACCTGTGTTGCTGTATTTTGGTTTGCCGGGCAAATTTCCTACAAAATGTCCCCGATGGGATGTATGTGGTCGCATGGTCAAATACTCCCTTTTTAAAAAAGAACAAAAATTTTGGGGAAATGTCAAAGTTCTTAAATAATTTTTAAAAAACCCATCCCCAAAAAGGGCCCAAATATTAGGATTTCAGCTTGTAGGTAACGATAAACCGGGGGACTTTAAAAAACGGTTTTTAATTTTCGGGGATTTTTTTCCAAAAATTTTATCATTCAAATTTAAAAACCCGTAAGTATAGCAAGTAAAAAAAGTACAAATATTTTACAATGTTTATTTTTTTCATACACTAAAAATTTGGGCCCGTAACCCTTTAAAACTCTGCTATAGCGTGGTTTAAGACAA